TGAGCCTTCTTCCTGTGCTGGACACCCATAACCCGGCGTGTCCCAATTTCTCGGTGCCCATCACCAATGCCTCCCTAAACCAGGTGGGTGCTGGCTCCCTCTCTGGATATCCCTTCCCCTGCTGGCTTGTGGTCAGCCTCTCCTGGGCGCTGGGTGAGAACCAGGCCAGCCTCCAGCAGCCTTCCTCTGCCTCCAAGCTCAGAGCCTGCTTGCAAAGGCCCTCATCAGGGCAAGCTGCACTGGGGGAGAGGCAAAGAAGGGGTGGTGGGAAAGGGGTGGGGGTAGAGCTGATTCCTAAAGTGGACTTCTGCAGACTACGCCCCATCCCACCCAATTCTCCGCACCTCCCCACCCCGCCCCCGCCCCAGTCCTCTGCCTCCTGATTTGCAAAGTGGAAAGATCAAGGATTCAGCTCTCAGTCTCCATCACCTGCTCCTGCTTCTTCTCAGATCTCTGGCAAGTGGTTTTATATCGCCTCGGCTTATCGCGTCCCCGAGTACAAGATGGAATCTAGCAAAGTCCATTCACGCTTCTTTTACTTAACCCCCAACCACACGGAGGACACGTTCCTGCTCAGAGAGTACAAAACCAAGTAAGACCCCTACAGGGTCCTCAGATCAGCCCTAGCCCCAGCCTCAGCCCAGGCTTTGGCTCCTTCTCCCAGATGCCCAAACCCCTGAAAGAAGAACCTCCCCTTTCCTGGCCTCAGCCTTCTCACCCAGGGAATGGGGGCAGGGTGACTCCAATTGCCACCTGACTCTCCCCCTCCAAGATTGTGACAGTCCACTTCTCCTTGGCTATCTTACTGGTTTTTCTCTCCTCTTCTCTCTGGCTTGAGGGAAGACCAGTGCACGTATAACTCCACCAAACTAAGAGTTGACCGGGAAAATGCTACTCTGGTCAGACATGGTGAGCCCCCAGGGGAAGGGTTACTGTGTGGGATGGGAGATGGTGGGTGGGCCAGCCCAAAGGAGGGCACCTAGGGCTTTGGGCACAGGGAGCCCGGGAGACGCCCACTTCTTACATCTCCCTGGGCCGCTGCCTGCACCCTGAAGCACTCAGTCACAGCTGCCAACACCTCTGAGCTCTTCCTATGTGCCAGGTGTGGTCTGAAGTGCTTTGTATGAATTAATCCACGTTAATGCTCACAAACCACCCAAGGAGGGCATTACACTGATCAGCTCAGGACATGGAGAGACAGGTGCCCACTTGGCTCTCTCACTCATCGTGCAATGACACCTACACTCAACCCGAGGTGGGTTCCAGTCCTGCCTCTCAAGCACTTTTGTTTAGTTTTTGTGTTTTGTTAATCATCACCTGAGAGTATTTTCCCATTGGTTTATAGAGAGAGTGAAAGGGAGGAGACAGAGAGAAAGTAAACATCAATGTGAGAGACACACATTGATTGGTTGCCCCCCACACCAGGTCTGGGGAGCGAACCTGCAACTGAGGTACATGCCCTTGGCCAGAATAGAACCCTATACCCTTTAGTCCCGGCTAAGGCTCAGTCACTCTTTGTCCTCTAGGACCTAAGGGTGGCAGCCCACCCATGAATCCCTAGCACTGCGAGAAGGCACATAGCAGGCACACACAGATGCCAATGGAATTGAACCAACACCTGAGGCTGCTCTCTGAACCTCATTTAACTCACCTGTAAAATGGGGAGAAAGGCCCTGACAGTACACATGAGGGTCCTCCTCTGATGCCACATCCATTGGGCACAGGGCCTGGTGCCCAGTAGGAGTGAGGAACTCATGGCCCAGGTGAACCCCTGGCCCTCAGCCATTGGCTGTGTGGGCCTGGGCACACCCAGGTTGCCTCACCTGTGAGGAGGGACCCACTGTGCCATCTCCATGGTCTCACCCAGAGGCTTTCTCTTCCAGTGAATGGCACAGACCATTTTGGCCACCTGCTGCTGCCCAAGAACCCCAAGACCTTCATGCTCGCTACTTTCCCAGAAGACAAGCAGAACATGGGGCTGTCCTTCTTTGGTAAGCACCCCAACTACCACCAGGCTTATCCAAGGGCCACCTGCTCCTAGGGCTGGGCCCCTAGACCTCCAGTCCTCCCTGGTCTCTACCCAACCTCCTCCCCCACCCACCCCACTCAGACATTGACATGCTCACCTGTCCCCTTGCTCCCTCCTGCAGCTGACAAGCCAGAGGTGACCCCGGAGCAAATGGAAGAGTTCTATGACTACCTCACGTGCATGGGCATGGACAAGACAGAAGTCTTGCACAAGAATACGAAAAAGGTGAGGGCCAGGAGGACTAGGTGGTGCCCACCAGGGGCGCTCCTCCTTTGGGCAGCCCAGAGGCCCAGAGAGGGCCATCACCCAGCCAGGGCTGCACAGCGAGCCAGGAGAGCCTGCTTTTCTATACCCATCTCACTGCGGGAACCACTGAGCTTCCCAGAGGCCCATGGGGTCTGCTGCCCCAGTCCAGAGCACACTCCACCTTACCCCAGAACCCCTGCCCTCCCCTGTCACTGCGCTTTCTTGTCCCACTGTCCTGTAGAATCTGTGTCTGCAGCTGGAGAAGCAACATTAGGAAGAAAGGAGGAAGGAAAAGGAGAAGTCCGAGACAGGCTCAGTGTTGAATTAGGACCCGGGGTCTTTGGGGGCTCATCCTGAGACACCCCCACCCTCCCTTTGTGCCTCAGTTGCACCAATAAAGTTTCTACATTTGGAATAGGCAGGTTTTCATTTGCTCATTCATTCATTCATTCACTCATTCATTCATTCAGGTTGAAGTCCGCACTCCTGCCTACAGAAGCCCCTGCTGTAACCCCAGCACACATGCCAGGATGGACGATGGCACATGGTGTGGGAGCCCAGCATGAGGATGTTCCTTCTGCAGGAGGGGGAGTCTGGGAAGGCTTCCTGGAAGGGGCATGTGAACCAGCCTAGAAAGATTAGGAGCTTGGTAACACCTGCTGTTCCTGCTGCAAGCCAAGGGCCTGAGAGGCCAGGTTTGAGGAACATAAGGCAGAGGGCCAAAACAGGAGTTCAGGTGGATAAGGTGGAGAGGACTAGGCACAGGGCATGGTGCCCGGCTTGAAGGACCTTTGGGCAAACATCATCATGGCTATCTGGGAGAGGGGCTGGGCCTGACAAGTTAGTCCTAGGGCCAGGGCCAGAGCAGGAACAGGGGAAATGTTGGAGACACAGAAGCCACAGAGGGAGGCAGGAAGAGTGGGAATGTGCCCCCAACAGGTTCATGGGTCAGATGGGAGGATGGCTGTGAGCATTGAGGTGTCCCCAGTCCCAGATTGCAAGAGGGATGAAGTCCCTGTGGGATGGACCTAAACAGGCAGTCTGACATCTCCCCAGGGGTCCAGAATTGGAGAATGTGCAGACTCTGCTAAGGGACCACCCCTCCCCCACTGCAAGAATGTTATGCACTGGGTCTCTAGTAGCTCAATAAAGCCGGATATCTACTCTAATAAAAGAGAAAATGCAAATTGACTATCACTTTGCTATGCCCCCTCTAGTCAATCAGGAGTGAATATGCAGATTACACCTTCCAAGATGGCGGCAGCCCCACCACCCAGAGTGTCAGGACAGAGCAGGAAGCCTGCTATGAGGGGGAGGGCCAGGGGCAGAGGGAGCAGGGCCCAGGGAGCTACAGGAGTGGTGCTCCATCCAGAGTGAAGACTGAAGGCTGCAGCCAGAGGGAAGGCCTGGCTCCCAGGTGCCAGAGGAAAACCGATGCCATCAAAAAGGGGAAGGAAGGACTATTGCATGAATCTCTTGTGCAACAGGCCTCTAGTAATACCATAAAATGCAATAGAACCATATGAAGACAGGGCATGATTAAGTAAATTATAATCTAGAAAGTGAATGAAAGTTGATGTGAGCTTGAAAATCACCGCTCACTATACTGAAACATGGAAAACTATTCAAAATATATAACATGGCCCTAGCTGGTTTTGCTCAGTGGATGGAGCATCAGCCTACAGACTATAGGTCTCAGGTTTGATTCTGGGCAAGGGCACAAGCCCGGATTGTGGGCTCGATCCCCAGTAGGGGGCATGTAGGAGGCAACTAATCAATGATTCCAATCACTGATGTTTCTCTCTCTCTCTCCCTCTCCCTTCCTCTCTGAAATCAATTAAAATACCATTTAAAAATAAATAAATAAAATGGGTGAGCATCCAAAGTTGTAAGCATACCATAATAATTCTTTGTGAAAATATCTGTGTGGATAAAGATTTGGGCCCGTCATGGAGAAATATAGAAGGATTGTAGAGTTAGTAACTGCACAGGATTGATTTTTGAGCACCCACTGTGTGCTAGGCATTGCTGCAGGATTGGGGGCAGCTGGTGAGAGAGGGCAAGCTTCCCTCTTGAATAGCAGAGGATACAGACAACCCAGAAGTGACTGCCTGTTTCAGATGTTGGAGATGCTTCACATAATACACTTACTGAAAATAGATGGTCACCTTAGTGCCCCGTGTTGTTGTTGGGTTTTTTTGTTGTTTTTCTTGGAGAATATCCCTGCCTCCAGGCCTGGGTTCAGAACTCTCTTCACAGTTGTTACCACACACAACTGGACTGAATTTATGTTTGCCTTCCCCCACACCCTGCACCCCTAGCCCCACATCTCCCCTACACCCCAGGCTGGCCCAGGGACTCTCCAAGGTGCCTTCAGCATCTGATTTATGACGGGTCCCTCTCAAGTCCTGCCACTCAGCGGGGCAGAGTGGATGGGTCCATGAGCACCTGTCCCCTCTATTATCACTAACATCACTCCACCTGGGTTTGAACAGCCTGACCTTTGGCTCAAGGTCAGGAAACCAAATTAGACCACAGCTTGGAGGCTTTTCCTGGGCCGTCTTTTGTGAAAGGAGGGAAAGTTTCTGCACATGGCATTTCCTAAATGCTCACCGGATTGTGTCACAGCGGGTCCCCAGGGCCCTGCCCACCGCTCATTACTATAAAGGTCACTGCACCCCTCAGCCACCAGTACCTCCGACACTAGCTGCATGCTCCTCTGACCATGGCGCTGACCTGGGCCCTTGCAGTCCTGAGCCTTCTTCCTCTGCTGGACACCCATAGCCCGGCGTGTCCCAATTTCTCGGTGCCCATAACCAATGCCTCCCTAAACCAGGTGGGTGCTTGCTCCCTCTCTGGATATCCCTTCCTCTGCGGTCAGCCTCTCCTGGGTGCTGGGTGAGAACCAGGCCAGCCTCCAGCAGCCTTCCTCTGCCTCCAAGCTCAAAGCCTCTTGCAAAGTCCCTCAGCAGGGCAAGCTGCACTGGGGGAGAGGCCAAGAGGGGTGGTGGGAAAGGGGTGGGGGTAAAGCTGATTCCTAGAGTGAACTCCTGCAGACTATACCCCATCCCACCCAATTCTCTGCACCTCCCACCCTCCTCCACCCAGTCCTCTGCCTCCTGAATTGCAAAGTGGAAAGATCAAGGATTCAGCTCTCAGTCTCCATCACTTTCTCCTGCTTCTTCTCAGATCTCTGGCAAGTGGTTTTATATCGCCTCGGCTTACCGCTTCCCCATGTACAAGATGGAATCTAGCAAAATCCATTCACTCTTCTTTTACTTAACTCCCAACTACACGGAGGACACATTCCTGCTCAGAGAGTACAAAACCAAGTAAGACTCCTACAGGGTCCTCAGCTCAGCCCTAGCCCCAGCCTCAGCCCAGGCTTTGGCTCCTCCTCCCAGCTGCCCAAACCCCTGAAAGAACCTCCCCTTTCCTGGCCTCAGCCTTCTCATATAGGGAATGGGGCAGGATGACTCCAATTGCCACCTGACTCTCCCCCTCCAAGATTGTGACAGTCACTTCTCCTTGGCTATCTTACTGTTTTTCTCTCCTCTTCTCTCTGGCTTGAGGGAAGACCAATGCATGTATAACTCTATCAAACTAAGAGTCGACCGGGAAAATGCTACTCTGGTCAGACATGGTGAGTCTTCAGGGGAAGGGTTACTGTGTGGGATGGGAGATGGTGGGTGGGCCAGCCCAAAGGAGGGCACCTGGGGCTTTGGGCAGAGAGAGCCCGGGAGACGCCCACTTCTTACATCTCCCTGGGCCCGCTGCCTGCACCCCGAAGCACTCAGTCACAGCTGCCAACACCTCTGAGCTCTTACTATGTACCAGGTGTGGTCTGAAGTGCTTTGTATGAATTAACCCACGTTAATGCTCACAAACCACCCAAGGAGGGCATTACACTGATCAGCTCAGGACATGGAGAGACAGGTGCCCACTTGGCTCTCTCACTCATCCTGCATTGACACCTACACTCAACCCGAAGTGGGTTCCAGTCCTGCCTCTCAAGCACTCTTGTTTTGTATTTTCCCATTGGTTTTTAGAGACAGTGAAAGGGAGGAGATAGAGAGAAAGGAAACATCAATGTGAGAGACACACATTGATTGGTTGTTCCCCACACCAGGTCTAGGGAGCGAACCGGCAACTGAGGTATATACCTTAGGTCAGAATAGAACCCTGGACCCTTCAGTCCCAGCTAGGGCTCAGTAATTCTTTGTCCTCTGAGACCTAAGGGTGGCAGCCCACCCATGAACCCCCATCACTGTGAGAAGGCACATAGCAAGAACGCAGAGATGACAATGGAGTTGAACAAACTACTGAGGTTGCTCTCTGAACCTCATTTACCTCATCTGTTAAATGGGGAGAAAGGCCATGAAAGTTCACATGAGGGTCCTCTGATGATGCCACATCCATTGGACACAGGGCCTGGTGCCCAGTAGGAGTGAGGGACACATGGGCCCGGTGAACCCCTGTCCCTCAGCCATTGGCTGTGTGGGCCTGGGCACACCCAGGTTGCCTCACCTGTTAAGAGGGACCCACTGTGCCATCTCCATGGTCTCACCCAGAGGCTTTCTCTTCCAGTGAATGGCACAGACCATTATGGCCACCTACTGCTGCCCAAGGACCCCAAGACCTTTATGTTCGCTACTTTCCCAGAAGACAAGCAGAACATGGGGCTGTCCTTCTTTGGTAAGCACCCCAAACTACCACCATTACCCGTGGGCCACCTGCTCCTAAGGCTGGGCCCCTAGACCTCCAGTTCTCCCTGGTCTCTACCCAACCTCCTCCCCCACCCACCCCACTCATACACTGACATGCTCACCTGTCCCCTTGCTCCCTCCTGCAGCTGACAAGCCAGAGGTGACCCCGGAGCAAATGGAAGAGTTCTATGACTACCTCATGTGCATGGGCATGGACAAGTCCGAAGTCTTGCACAAGAATACGAAAAAGGTGAGGGCCAGGAGGACTACGTGGTGCCCACCTGAGGGTGTTCTGCCATTGGGCAGCCCAAGGGCCATCACCCAGCCAGGGCTGCACAGCGAGCCAGTAGAGCCTACTTTTCTATACCCATCTCACTGCGGGGACCACTGAGCTTCCCAGAGGACCATGGGGTCTGGTTCCCCAGTCCAGAGCACACTCCACCTTCCTCCGGGACCCCTGCCCTCCCCTGTCACTGTGTTTTCTTGTCCCGCTGTCCTGTAGAATCTGTGTCTGCAGCTGGAGAAGCAGCATGAGGAGGAACGGAGGAAGGAAAAGGAGAAGTCCGAGACAGGCTCAGCGTTGGATTAGGACCTCGGGGACTTTGGGGGCCCATCCTGAGACACCCCCACCCTCCCTTTGTGCCTCAGTTCTTTCCCTCAGTTGTACCAATAAAGTTTCTACATTTGGAATAGGAGATTGACATTTTCTCACTCATTCATTCATGTTGAAGTCTGGTATCCTGCCTGCAGAAGCCCCTGCTGTTACCCCCAGCACACATGCCAGGATGGACGATGGCACGTGGTGTTGGAGCCCAGCATGAGGAGGTTCCTTCTGCAGGAGGGGGAGTCTGGGAAGGATTCCTAAAAAGATAAGGAGCTTGGTAACACCTGCTGTTCCTGCTGCAAGGCAACGGCCTGAGAGGCCAGGTTTGAGAAACATAAGGCAGAGGACCCAAAGCAAGAGTTGGGGTGGATAAGGTGGAGAAGACTAGGCACAGGGCATGGTGCCTGGCTTGAAGGACCTTAGGGCAAACATCATCATGGCTATCTGGGAGAGGGGCTGGGCCTGACAAGTTAGTCCTAGGGCCAGGGCCAGAGCAGGAACAGGGGGAATGTTGGAGACACAGAAGCCACAGAGGGAGGCAGGAAGAGTGGGAATGTGCCCCCAACAGGTTCATGAGTCAGAAGTGGGGATGGCTGTGAGCACTGAGGAGTCCCCAGTCCCAGATTGCAAGAGGGATAAAGTCCCTGTGGGATGGACCTAAACAGGCAGTCTGACATCTCCCAGGGGTCCAGAATTGGAGAATGTGCAGACTCTACTAAGAGACCACCCCTCCTCCACTGCAAGAATGTTATGCACTGGGTCTCTAGTAGCTCAATAAAGCTGGATATCTACTCTAATAAAAGAGAAAATGCAAATTGACTATCACTTTGCTATGCCCCCTCTAGCCAATCAGGAGTGAATATGCAGATTACCGCCTACAAGATGGCAGCAGCCCCACCACCCAGAGTGTCAGGACAGAGCAGGAAGCCTGCTATGAGGGGGAGGGCCAAGGGCAGAGGGAGCAGGGCCCAGGGAGCTACAGGAGTGGTGCTCCATCCAGAGGGAAGACTGAAGGCTGCAGCCAGAGGGAAGGCCTGGCTCCCGGGTGCCAGAGGAAAACCGATGCCATCAAAAAGGGGAAGGAAGGACTATTGCATGAATCTCTTGTGCAACAGGCCTCTAGTAATACCATAAAATGCAATAGAACCATATGAAGACAGGGCATGATTAAGTAAATTATAATCTAGGAAGTGAATGAAAGTTGATGTGAGCTTGAAAATCACCGCTCACTATACTGAAACATGGAAAACTATTCAAAATATATAACATGGCCCTAGCTGGTTTTGCTCAGTGGATGGAGCATCAGCCTACAGACTATAGGTCTCAGGTTTGATTCTGGGCAAGGGCACAAGCCCGGATTGTGGGCTCGATCCCCAGTAGGGGGCATGCAGGAGGCAACTAATCAATGATTCCAATCACTGATGTTTCTCTCTCTCTCTCCCTCTCCCTTCCTCTCTGAAATCAATTTAAATACCATTTAAAAATAAATAAATAAAATGGGTGAGCATCCAAAGTTGTAAGCATACCATAATAATTCTTTGTGAAAATATCTGTGTGGATAAAGATTTGGGCCCATCATGGAGAAATATAGAAGGATGGTAGAGTTAGTAACTGCACAGGATTGATTTTTGAGCACCCACTGTGTGCTAGGCACTGCTGCAGGATTGGGGGCAGCTGGTGAGAGAGGGCAAGCTTCCCTCTTGAATAGCAGAGGACAGACAACCCAGAAGTGACTGCCTGTTTCAGATGTTGGAGATGCTTCACATAATACACTTACTGAAAATAGATGGTCACCTTAGTGCCCCGTGTTGTTGTTGGGTTTTTTTGTTGTTTTTCTTGGAGAATATCCCTGCCTCCAGGCCTGGGTTCAGAACTCTCTTCACAGTTGTTACCACTCTCAACTGGACTGAATTCATGTTTGCCTTCCCCCACTCCCAGCACCCCTACCCCCCACATCTCCCCTACACCCCAGGCTGGCCCGGGGACTCTCCAAGGTGCCTTCAGCATCTGATTTATGGCAGTCCCACTCAAATCCTGCCACTCATCGGGGCAGGAGTGGATGGGACCCTCAGCACCTGTCCCCTCTATTATCACTAACATCACTCCAGCCATTTCCACCTGGGCTTTGAACAGCCTGACCTTTGGGCCCTGGGCTCAAGGTCAGGGAACCAAACTAGACCCCAGCTTGGAGGCTTTCCCTGGGCTGATTTTTGCGAAAGGAGGAAAGGTTGCTGCACATGGCATTTCCCAAATGCTCACCGGATTGTGTCACAGCGGGTCCCCAGGGTTCTGCCCACCGCTCATTATTATAAAGGTCACCGCACCCCTCAGCCGCCAGTACCTTGACACTAGGTGCATCCCCCTCTGGCCATGGCGCTGCCCTGGGCCCTTGCGGTCTTGAGCCTTCTTCCTGTGCTGGATGCCCAGAGCCCCGCGTGTCCCAATTTCTCGGTGCCCATTACCAATGCCTCCCTGGACCAGGTGGGTGCTGGCTCCCTCTCTGGATATCCTTTCCCCTGCTGGCTTGCAGTCAGCCTCTCCTGGACACCGGGAGAGAACCAGGCCAGCCTCCAGCAGCCTTCCTCTGCCTCCAAGCTCAGAGCCTGCTTACAAAGTCCCTCAGCAGGGCAAGCTGCGCTGGGTCAAGGTCTAAGGAGCAGGGGAGGAGATTGCTTTGCAGAGGGTGGATGTGCTGGGAGGAGTGATGGCTGATTCCTAGAGGAAGTGCCTAAAGGCCCCACCCCTCCCGCGGGGCCTCTGTCTCCTGATTTGCAAAGTGGAAATATCTGCCTGTCTCCTCCAGCTGACCATGCAGGACTAAGTTCTCAGTCTCCAACACCTGTTCCTGTTTCTCCTCAGATCTCTGGCAAGTGGTTTTATATCGCCTCGGCTTATCGCGTCCCCGAGTACAAGAAGGTATCTAGTGTCATCCATGCTGCCTTCTTTTACTTCACCCCCAACCACGTGGAGGACAGAATACACCTTAGAAAGTACATGTCCATGTAAGCCCCGCACAAAACCCTGGGTTGCCAGCTCAGCCCCAGCCTCAGCCCAGCTTCTGGCCCCTCCTCCCAGCTGCTAAATACCAGGAGTTAGCCCCTGGCCCTCCTGGCCTCAGCCTTCTCAGCCAGGGAATGGGGGCAGGCTGACACCCCAGCCATTGCCACCTGACTCTTCCCCCTCCAAGATTGTGACAGTCCACTTCTCCTTGGCTATCTTACTGTTTTTCTCTCCTCTTCTCTCTGGCTTAAGGCCAACACAGTGCACGTATTACTCCACCAACCTGAGGGTCAACCGGGAAAATGGGACCCTGACAAGACATGGTGAGCCCTCAGGGGAAGGGTTGCTGTGTAGGATGGGAGATGGTGGGTGGGCCAGCCCAAAGGAGGGCACCTGAGGCCTTGGGCACAGAGAGCCCGGGAGACGCCCACTTCTTACATCTCCCTGGCCCCGCTGCCTGCACCCGGGAGCCGTCAGTCACAGCTGCCAACACCTCTGAGCTCTTACTATGTGCCAGGTGTGGTCTGAAATGCTTTGTAGGAATTAATCCATGTTAATGCTCACAAACCACCCAAGGAGGGAATTACACTGATCAGCTCAGGACATGGAGAGACAGGTGCCCACTCGGCTCTCTCACTCATCCTCCAATGACACCTACACTCAACCTTAGGTTGGTTCCAGTCCTGCCTCTCAAACACTCTTGTTTTGTTTTTGTTTTTGTGTTTTGTTAATCCTCACCTGAGAGTATTTTCCAGTTGGTTTTTAGAGACAGTGAAAGGGAGGAGACAGAGAGAAAGGAAACATCAATGTGAGAGACACACATCGATTGGTTGTCTCCCACAGTAGGTCTGGGGAGAGAGCCTGCAACTGAGGTACATGCCCTTGGCCAGAATAGAACCCTGGCCCCTTCAGTCCCTGGGCCCGTGCTCTTCACTTAGCCCAATCGACTAGAGCTTGTCTGCAGGGACCTAAGGGTGACAGCCCACACATGTCCCCACCATCAATGCAGAGAAGGCACATAGCAGGCACACACAGATGCCAATAGAATTGAACCAACTCCTGAGGCTGCTCTCTGAACCTCATTTAACTCATCTGTAAAATGGGGAGAAAGGCCCTGATAGCCACAGTTCACATGAGGCTCCTCTGTGCTTTCTTGTCCAGCCTGGTGCCCAGTAGGAGTGAGGGACACATGGCCCAGGTGAACCCGTGTCCGTCAGCCATTGGCTGTGTGGGCCTGGCCACACCCAGGTTGCCTACCTGTGATTAGGGACCCACTGTGCCACCTCCCTGGTCTCACCCAGAGGCTTTCTCTTCCAGAGAATGGCACAGATCATTTTGGCCACCTGCTGCTGCCCAAGGACCCCAAGACCTTCATGCTTGCTTTTTTCCCAGAAGACAAGCAGAACATGGGGCTGGCCTTCTTTGGTAAGCATTCCCAAACTCCCACCATCCCCCCAGGGCCTAGGGTTGGGCCCCAGACCTCCATTCCTCCTTGGCCTCTACCAAACCACCACCCCATCTTCCCCACACACACACACTGACATGGTCACCTGTCCCCTTGCTCCCTCCTGCAGCTGACAAGCCAGAGGTGACCCCGGAGCAAATGGGAGAGTTCTATGACTACCTCATGTGCATGGGCATGGACAAGTCCGAAGTCCTGTACGGCGATGAGAAAAAGGTGAGGGTCAGAAGGAAGTGGTGGTGCCCACCTGAGGGGGCTCCTGCCTTGGGCAGTGCAGAGGTTCATAGAGGACCATCACCCAGCCAGAGCTGCACAGAAGCAGGTCAGCCTGCTTCTCTGTGCCCAGCTCACTTTGGGACCGCTGAGCTTCCCAGAGGCCCATGGGGTCTGCTGCCCCAGTCCAGAGCACACTCCACCTTCCCCGGGACCCCTGCTCTCCCCTGTCACTGTGCTTTCTTGTCTCACTGTCCTGTAGAATCTGTGCCTGCCGCTGGAGAAGCAGCATGAGGAGGAAAGGAGGAAGGAAAAGGAGAAGTCCGAAACAGGCTCAGTGTTGGATTAGGACCTTGGGAATCTTGGGGGCCCATCCTGAGACACCCCCACCCTCCCTTTGTGCCTCAGTTCTTTCCCTCAGTTGCACCAATAAAGTTACTACATTTGGAATAGGCAGGTTTTCATTTGCTCATGCATTCATTCATTCATTCATTCATTCATGTTGAAGCCTGTGTCCCTGCCTACAGAAGCCCCTGCTGTAATCCCAGCACACATGCCAGGATGGACTATGGCACGTGGTGTGGGAGCCCAGCTCAAGGAGGTTCCTTCTGCAAGAGGGAGAGTCTGGGAAGGCTTCCTGGAAGGGGCATGTGAACCAGCCTAGAAAGATTAGGAGCTTAGAAACACCTGCTGTTCCTGCTGCAAGCCAAGGGCCTGAGAGGCCAGGTTTGAGAAACATAAGGCAGAGGGTCCAAAGCAGGAGTTCAGGTGGATAAGGTGGAGAGGACTAGGCACACAGCATGGTGCCCGGCTTGAAAGACTTTAGGTCAAACATCACCATGGCCATCTGGGAAGTGAGCACTCAGGCCAGGGCCAGGGCAGAGACAGGGGGAAAATTGGAGACACAGAAGCCAACAAGGGAGGCAGGAAGATTGGGAATGTGCCCCCAACAAGTCCATGGGTGAGAAGGGGGGATGGCTGTGAGCATGAGAAGCCAGTGGTCCAGATTGCAAGAGGGATGGAGTCCCTGTGGGATGGACCTAAACGGGCAGTCTGAGACTCCCCTAGGGGTCCTGGATTGAAGAGTGTGTAGACCTTGCTGAGGGACTACCCCTCCCCACCATGCAAGAATTTTATGCACTGGGTCTCTAGTACCTCAATAAAGCTGGATATCTACTCTAATAAAAGAGAAAATGCAAATTGACTATCACTTTGCTATGCCCCCTCTAGTCAATCAGGAGTGAATATGCAGATTACACCTTCCAAGATGGCAGCAGCCCCACCACCCAGAGTGTCAGGACAGAGCAGGAAGCCTGCTATGAGGGGGAGGGCCAGGGGCAGAGGGAGCAGGGCCCAGGGAGCTACAGGAGTGGTGCTCCATCCAGAGTGAAGACTGAAGGCAGCAGCCAGAGGGAAGGCCTGGCTCCCGGGTGCCAGAGGAAAACCAATTCTGGCAGCCAGGGGAAGGAAGGACTATTGCATGAATCTCTTGTGCAACAGGCCTCAAGTAATACTATCAAATGCTATAGAAAGATATGAAGACAGGGCATGAATAAGTAAATTATAATCTAGAAAGTGAATGAAAGGTAATGTGAGCTTGAAAATCACAACCACTCACTATACTGAAACATGAAAAACTATTCAAAATATATAAAATGGCCCTAGCTGGTTTTGCTCAGTGGATGGAGCATCAGCCTACAGTTTCAGGTTTGATTCTGGGCAAGGGAACAAGCCCGGGTTACGGGTTCAATCCCCAGTAGGGGGCATGCAGGAGGCAACTAATCAATGATTCCAATCACTGATGTTTCTCTCTCTCTCTCCCTCTCTGAAATCATTTAAAATACCATTAAAAAAATAAATAAAATGGGTGAGCATCCAAAGTTGTAAGCATACCATAATAATACTTTGTGAAAATATCTGTGTGGATAAAGATTTGGTCCTGTCATGGAGAAATACAGAAGGTGGTAGAGTTAATAATTGCACAGAATTGATTTCCTGAGCACCCACTGTGTGCTGGGCACTGCTGCAGGATTGGGGGCAGCTGGTGAGAGAGGGCAAGCTTCCCTCTTAAATAGCAGAGGATACAAACAACACAGAAGTGACTGCCTGTTTCAGATGTTGGAGATGCTTCACATAATACATTTACTGAAAATAGACATTCACCTTAAAGCCCCGTATTGTTGTTGTTGTTTTTTGTGTTGGTCTTGGAAAATGTCCCTGTCCTTGGGTTGGGGCATTTCTGGACTTTTGTTCCTTCACAGTTGTTACCACACTCAGTGTTACCACACTGGACTGAATTCATGTTTGCCTTCCCCCACACCGTGCACCCCTATCTCTACATCTCCCCTACACCTCAGGCTGGCCTGGGGACTCTCCAAGGTGCCTTCAACACCCTGCACCCCTATCCCCACATCACCCCTACACCCCAGGCTGGCCCAGGGACTCTCCAAGGTGCCTTCAGCATCTGATTTATGACGGGTCCCTCTCAAGTCCTGCCACTCAGTGGGGCAGGAGTGGATGGGACCGTGAGCACCTGCCCCTCTATTATCACTAACATCACTCCAGCTGTTTCCACCTGGGCTTGAACAGCCTGACCTTTGGCTCATGGTCAGGGAACCAAATTAGACCTGATCTTGGAGGCTTTCCCTGGGCTGACATTTGGAAAAGGAGGGAAGGTTTCTGCACGTGGCATTTTCAAAACGTGCACCGCATTGTGTCACAGCGGGTCCCCAGGGCCCTGCCCACCGCTCATTATTATAAAGCTCACCGCACCCCTCAGCCGACAGTACCTCCGACACTAGCTGCATCCTCCTGTGGCCATGGCGCTGCCCTGGGCTCTTGCAGTCCTGAGCCTTCTTCCTCTGCTGGATGCCCATAGCCTGGCGTGTCCCAATTTCTCGGTGCCCATCACCAATGCCTCCCTGGATCAGGTGGGTGCCTGGGCCCTGAGCGCTGTGCCTGCGGGGTCCCTCTCTGGCTCTCCCTTTGCCTGCTGGCTTGCAGTCATCCCCTCCTGGGCACTGGGTGAGAACCAGGCCAGCCTCCAAGCTCAGAGCCTGCTTGCAAAGTCCTTCAGCAGGGCAAGCTGCACTGGGGAGGGGCCCAAGGAGGAGGGGAGGAGGTTGTTTGGCAGAGGGGGAGGAGAGGGGAATGGCTGATTCCTAGAGTGAGCTCCTGCAGCCCCCCCACCCCTCCTCTGTCTCCTGATTTTCAAAGTGGAAAGATCTGCCCTAGTCTTCTCCCTGCTGAATATCCATGATTATGTTCTCAGTCCTCAATACCTGCTCCTGCTTTTCCTCAGATCTCTGGCAAGTGGTTTTTTATCGCTGACGCTTCCCGCCTCCTAGAGTACAAGATGGAAGTTAATGAATCCCATGCATTCTTCCTTTATTTGACCCCCAACCACACGGAGGACAGGATACAGCTCAGAGAGTATATGACCTTGTAAGCCCCACACCTGGCCCTTGGGTACCATCTCAGCCACAGCCCAGCTTCTGGCCCCTCCTCCTAGATGCCCAAACACAGGAGCTAGCCCCTGCCCCCTCCTGGCCTCAGCCTTCTCATCCAGGGAATGGAGGCAGGCTGACTCTAATTGCCACCTGACTCTCCCCCTCCAAGATTGTAACAGTCCACTTCTCCTTGGCTATCTTACTGTTTTTCTCTCCTCTTCTCTCTGGCTTCAGTGAGGACCAATGCATGTATAACTCCACCAACCTGAGGGTCCACCGGGAAAATGCAACCCTGACCAAACATGGTGAGCCCTCAGGGGAAGGGTTGCTGTGTGGGATGGGAGATGGCGGGTGGACCAGCCCAAAGGAGGGCACCTGAGGCTTTGGGCACAGAGAGCCCATGAGATGCCCACTTCTTACATCTCCCTGGGCCCTGCCGCCTGCACCCTGAAGCAGTCAGTCACAGCTGGTAACACCTCTGAGCTCTTACTACCCTGTGTCCCCAAAAATAAGACAGTGTCTTATATTAATTTTTTCTCCCAAAGTTGCCCTAAGTCATATTTTCTGAGGATGTCTTATTTTCAAGGAAAGACGGTATGTGCCAGGTGCGGTCTGAAGTGCTTTGTATGAATTAACCCACGTTAATGCTCACAAACCACCCAAGGAGGGCATTACACTGATCAGCTCAGGACATAGAGAGACAGGTGCCCACTTGGCTCTCTCACTCATCCTGCAATGACACCTACACTCAACCCGAGGTAGGTTCCAGTCCTGCCTCTCAAGCACTCTTGTTTTGTTTTTCTGTTTTGTTAATCCTCACCTGAGAGTATTTTCCCATTGGTTTTTAGAGAGAGTGAAAGGAAAAGGGAGACACAGAGAGAACGGAAAATTCAATATAAGAGACATACTTTGATTGGTTGTCTTCCACATCAGAGCCGAGGTTCAAGACTGTAACTGAGGTACATGCCCTTGGCCAGAATAGAACCCTGGAACCTTCAGTCCCGGCTAGGGCTCAGTCACTCTTTGTCCTCTGAGACCTAAGGGTGGCAGCCCACCCATGAACCCCCATCACTGTGAGAAGGCACATGGCAGGCACACACAGATGCCAGTGGAATTGAACCAACACCTGAGGCTGCTCTCTGAACCTCATTTAACTCATCTGTAAAATGGGGAGAAAGTCCCTGACAGTTCACATGAGGGTCCTCCTCTGATGCCACATCCATTGGGCACAGGGCCCAGGTGAACCCCTGTCCCTCAGCCATTGGCTGTGTGGGCCTGGGCACACCCAGGTTGCCTACCTGTGACTAGGGACCCACTGTGCCATCTACATGGTCTCAGCCAGAGGCTTCCTCTTCCAGAGAATGGCGCACAATATTTTGGTCACTTATTGCTGCTCAAGGACCCCAAGACCTTCATGCTCGCTACTTTCCCAGAAGACAAGCAGGAATTGGGGCTGTCCTTCTTTGGTAAGCACCCCAAACTACCACCAGGCTTAGCCAAGGGCCACCTGCTCCTAGGGCTGGGCCCCTAGACCTCCAGTCCTCCCTGGTCTCTACCCACCCTCCTCCCCTGCCCACCACACACACACACACTGACATGCTCACCTGTCCCCTTGCTCCCTCCTGCAGCTGACAAGCCAGAGGTGACCCCGGAGCAAATGGGAGAGTTCTATGACTACCTCACGTGCATGGGCATGGACAAGTCGGATGTCCTGTATCCCAATCAGAAAAAGGTGAGGGTCAGTGGGACGAGGTGGTGCCCACCAGAGGATGCTGTGCTTTGGGCAACCCAGAGGCCCAGAGAGGGCCATCACCCAGCCAGGGCTGCACAGAGGCAGGAGAACCTACTTTTCTGTGCGCAGCTCACTATGGGGACCGCTGAGATTCCCAGAGGCCCATGGGGTCTGCTGCCCCAGTCCAGAGCTCACTCCACCTTCCCCCAAGACCCCTGCCCTCCCCTGTCACTGCGCTTTCTTGTCCCGCTGTTCTGTAGAATATGTGCCAGCAGCTGGAGAAGCAGCATGAAGAGGAAAGAAGGAAGGAAAAGGAGAAGTCTGAGACAGGCTCAGCGTTGGATTAGTACCTCAGGGACTTTGGGGGCCCATCCTGAAACCGCCACCCCCCTCAACCCTCCCTTTTTGCCTCAGTTCTTTCCCTCAGTTGCACCAATAAAGTTTCTGCATTGGAATAGGCAAGCTGACATTTGTTCACTCATTCACTCATTCATTCATGTTGAAGCCTGCGCCCCTGGCTGCAGAAGCCCCAATTGTAACCCCCAGCACACATGCCAGGATGGACAATGGCACATGGTGTGGGAGCCCAGCTAGAGAAGGTTCCTTCTGCAGGAGGGGGAGTCTGGGAAGGCTTCCTGGAAGGGGCATGTGAACTAGCCTAGAAAGATTAGGAGCTTAGAAACATCTGCTGTTCCTGCTGTAATTCAAGGGCCTGAGAGGACAGGTTGGAGGAACATAAGGCAGAGGACCCAAAGCGGGAGTTCAGGTGTATAAGGTGGAGAGGACTAGGCACACGGCATGGTGCCCGGCTTGAAGGACCTTAGGGCAACCATCACCCTGGTCACATGAGAGGTGAGCACCTGGGCAAGGGCCAGGGCAGGGACAGGGAGAAAGTTGGAGACACAGAAGACACAGAGGGAGGCAGGAAGAGTGGGAATGTGCACCAACAGGTCCCCGGGTAGGAAGAAGGATGGCTGTGAGCAATGAGGAATCAGCAGTCCCAGATTGCAAGAGGGATGGAGTCCCTGTGAGATGGACCTAAACTAGCAGTCCAACATCTCCAGAGTGGTTCTGGATTGGAGAGTCTGCTGGCTGTGCTGAGGGAACAACCCTCCCCCAACCCTATGCAAGAATTTTATGCACTGGGTCTCAAGTACTTTAATAAAGCTCTAAATCTACACTAATAAAAGAGAAACATGCAAATTGACTATCACTTTGCTATGCCTTCACTAGCCAATCAGGAGTGAATATGCAGATTACACCTTCCACAATGGTGGCAGCCCCATGCCCCTTCTGGACAGAGCAGGCAATGAGGGACAGGGCCCAGGGAGCTACAGGAGTGGTGCTCCATGCAGAGTGAAGACTGAAGGCAGCAGCCAGAGGGAAGGCCTGGCTCCCGGGTCCCAGAGGAAAACCGATGCTGGCAGCCAGGGGAAGGAAGGACTATTGCATTAATTTCCTTGTGCAACAGGCCTCTAGTAATACCATAAAATGCTATAGAATGATATGAGACAGGGCAGGAATAAGTAAATTATAATCTAGGAAGTGAATGAAAGGTGATGTGAGCTTGAAAATCTCAACCACTCACTGCACTGAAACATGGAAAACTATTCAAAATATATAAAATGGCCCTAGCTGGTATTACTCAGTGGAATGAGCATCAGCCTGTGGACTAAAGGTCCCAGGTTTGATTCTGGTTAAGGGCACAAGCCCAGGTTGCAGGCTCAATCCTCAGTAGGCGGCATGCAGGAGGCAACCAATCAATGATTCTCATCATTGATGTTTCTATATCTCTGGCCCTCTCCCCTCCTCTCTGATATTAATAAAAATATCGTTTTAAAAAAATGAAAATTGTTAGAATACCATAATAATACTTTGTGAAAATATTATTTGTATGGATAAATATTTGGCCACCTCTGGGAAAAGTTCTTCCTCATAAACCTGTCTCTAGCACAGCAATTCTTCCATTATAGACACAGCGGGTCCTCACAGCCAATTGGCCTGGAAGTCAATTCCTCCCAGTGACACCAACAACAAACAAGACTTAATTACAACAAGGGTGTACACACAGTCCACAAGGGGGTGCACAAAGAGTGTCCACATTAGGCAACTGGGAGGCAGACCCATTGAACCATATAGGACACGCAGGCAGACAAAGCTATCCTACCAACTCAGGGAAGCAGCAAAAATGCCGAGAAAAGGAAGGAGATCTCAAACAAAAGAAATGGAGGGGAACAAAAGACTAAATATAAAGTTCAAAACCACAGTTATAAGGTTTTTCAAGAATTTCCTAGAAAAGGCCAATAACTTTAACAAGACCCTGGAGGATATGAAAAAGAAATTACACCAACTAGAAATTAAACATACATTGACTTAAATAAAAAATATTATACAGAGACACAACAGCAGACTGGAAGAATGCAAGAAGCAAGTCAAAGATTTGGAATACAAGGAGGCAAAGGACACTCTTCTGGAGAAGCAAGAAGTGAAGAGAATCCAGAAAGTTGAAGATAGTGTAAGAAGCCTCTGGGACAACTTCAAGCATACCAACATCAGAATTATGGGGGTGCCAGAGGAAGAAAGAGAGCAAGACATTGAAAACCTATTTGAAGGAATATTAACCAAAAACTTCTCCCACCTGATGAAAGAAATAGACTTACAAGTCCAGGAAGCACACAGAACTCCAAACAAAAGTAATCTAAAGAGGACCACACCAAGACACATCATAATTAAAATGCCAAGAGCAGCTGAAACCGGTTTGGCTAAATGGATAGAGTGTCAGCTTGGGGACTGAAGGGACCCGGGTTCGATTCCGTTCAAGGGCATGTACCTTGGTTGTGGGCACATCCCCAGTACGGAGTGTGCAAGAGGCAGCTGATCGGTGACTCTCTCATCGATGTTTCTAACTCTCTGTACAAAATTAATAAAATATATATTTAAAAAAAATAAATAAATAAATAAAATGCCAAGAGCAAAAGACAAAGAGAGAATCTTACAAGGAGCAAGAGAAAAACAGTTAATTACCTAGAAGAGAGCACCCATACGATTATCAGCTGATTTCTCAACAGAAACTATGCAGGCCAGATGGGAGTGGCAAGAAATATTCAAAGTGATGAATAGCAAGAACCTACAACCAAGATTACTCTACCCAGCAAAGTTATCATTCAGAATTGAAGGGCAGATAAAAAGTTTCACAGATCAGAAAAAGCTAAAGGAGTACATGACCATCAAACCAGAATTCTATGATATGCTAAAAGATGTTCTTTGAAAAGAGGAAAAAGAAGAAAAAAGATAAAAATTGTGAACAACAAATAAAACAGGTGAATCTAAAAGTCAAGTGAATTAAAAATCTGAGGAACAGAATAAACGGGTGAATGTAATAGAATCAGGGGCATAGAATGGGAGGGGATTGATAATTCTCAGGGGGTAGGGGTGTCTGTGTGGGAGGGTATGGGAAGAGACTGGACAAAAATCATACACCTATGGATGAGAACAGTGGAAGGGGGGAAGAATAGGTAAGGGAACAGGGTGGAGTGGGGACCAGGTAGAGGGGAACTATAGAGAGGGGAGGAGAAACAATTGTAATAATCTGAACAATAAAGATTTATTTAAAAAAATTAAAAATTAAAATAAAAAAGAATACAAACACCACATAAACCCACACCTGAAACCTATATGTTCATATTAACCTTTGTCACCCCAATCAATTTAATAAATAAATACTAAAAGTTAAAAAAAAATAAAAAAGAAATGCAGAAGGTGGTAGAGTTAGTAATTCCACGGAATTTTCTGAGCACCCACTGTGTGCTGGGCACTGCTGCAGGATTGGGGGCAGATGGTGAGAGAGGGCAAGCTTCCCCGTTGAATAGCAGAGGATACAGACAACACAGAAGTGACTTCCTGTTTCAGATGTTAAGGATGCTTCACATAATACATTTACTGAAAATAGACATTCAACTTAATGCCCCATGTTGTTGTTGTTGTTGTTTGTGTTTGTCTTGGAAAATGTCCCTGTCCCTGGGTTGGGGCTTCTCTGAACTTTTGTTCCTTCACGGTTGTTACCACACTCAACTGGACTGAATTCATGTTTGCCTTCCCCCACTCTGCACTCCTACCGCCAACATCTCCCCTATACCCCAGGCTGGCCCAGAGACTCTCCAAGGTGCCTTCAGCATCTGATTTATGATGGGTCCCCCTCAAGTCCTGCCACTCGGCGGGGCAGGAGTGGATGGGACCCTCAGCACCTGCCCCTCTATTATCACTAACATCACTCCAGCCGTTTCCACCTGGGCTTTGAACAGCCTGACCTTTGGGCCCTGGGCTCAAGGTCAGGGAACCAAATTAGACCCCAGCTTGGAGGCCTTCCCTGGGCTGACTTTTGGGAAAAGAGGAAAGGTTTCTGCCCATGGCATTTCCCAAAAGCTCACAGGATTGTGTCACAGTGGGTCCCCAGGGCCCTGCCCACCGCTCATTATTATAAAGGTCACCACACCCCTCAGACACCAGTTCCTCCGACACTAGCAGCATCCTCCTCTGGCCATGGCGCTGACCTGGGCGCTTGTGGTCTTGAGCCTTCTTCCTCTGCTGGACGCCCAGAGCCCGGCGTGTCCCAATTTCTCGGTGCCCATCACCAATGCCTCCCTGGACCAGGTGGGTGCTGGCTCCCTCTCTGGATATCCCTTCCCCTGCTGGCTTGCAGTCAGCCTCTCCTGGGCGCTGGGTGAGAACCAGGCCAGCCTCTAGCAGCCTCCCTCTGCCTCCAAGCTCAGAGCCTGCTTGCAAAGGCCCTCAGCAGGGCAAGTGCACTGGGTAAAGGTCTAAGGAGGAGGGGAGGAGGTTGCCTGAGGTGTCTGGGGTGATGGCTGATTCCTAGAGTGAGCTCCTGAAGGCCCACTCCTCCCTCTGGCCTCTGTCTCCTGATTTGCAAAGTGGAAAGGTCTGCCCAATCATCTCCAGCTGACTATCCAGGAATAAGTTCTCAGTCTCCATCACCTGCTCCTGCTTCTCCTCAGATCTCTGGCAAGTGGTTTTATATCGCTTCGGCTTACCACCTCCCGGAGTACAAGAAGGAAGCTAGTGAATTCCATGCATCCTTCTTTTACTTCACCCCCAACCACATGGAGGACAGGATACAGCTCAGAGAGTACACAACGATGTAAGCCCCGCATAAGGCCCTAGCTTGCCAGCTCAGCCCCAGCCTCAGTCCAGCTTCCCAAATACCAGGAGCTAGCCCCTGCCCCATCCTGGCCTCAGCCTTCTAATCCAGGGAATGGGGGCAGGCTGACTCTAATTGCCACCTGACTCTCCCCCTCCAAGATTGTGACAGTCCAATTCTCCTTGCCTATCTTACTGTTTTTCTCTCCTCTTCTCTCTGGCTTAAGGCGAGGACAGTGCATGTATAACTCCACCAACCTGAGGGTCAACCGGGAAAATGCGACGCTGACCAAACATGGTGAGCCCTCAGGGGAAGGGTTGCTGTGTGGGATGGGAGATGGTGGGTGGGCCAGCCCAAAGGAGGGCACCTGGGGCTTTTGGGTACAGAGAGCCTGGGAGACACCCACTTCTTACATCTCCCTGGGACCCGCTGCCTGCACCCGGAAGCAGTCAGTCACAGCTGCCAACACCTCTGAGCTCTTACTATGTGCCAGGTGCGGTCTGAAGTGCTTTGTATGAATTAACCCACGTTAATGCTCACAAACCACCCAAGGAGGGCATTACACTGATCAGCTCAGGACATAGAGAGACAGGTGCCCACTTGGCTCTCTCACTCATCCTGCAATGACACCTACACTCAACCCGAGGTAGGTTCCAGTCCTGCCTCTCAAACACTCTTGTTTTGTTTTTGTTATGTGTTTTGTTAATCCTCACCTGAGAGTATTTTCCCATTGGTTTATAGAGAGAGTGAAAGGGAGGGTGAGATACAGAGAGAAAGTAAACATCAACATGAGAGACACACATTGATTGGTTGTCTCCTACTCCTTATCTGGGGAGAGAGCCTGCAACTGAGGTACATGCCCTTGGCCAGAATACAACCCTGGACCCTTCAGTCCCGGCTTAGGCTCAGTCATCTTTGTTCTCTGGGAACTAGGCGTGACAGCCCACCCATGTCCCCGCCATCACTGCGAGAAGGCACATAGCAGGCACACACAAATGCCAATGGAATTGAACCAACACCAGAGGCTGCTCTCTGAACCTCATTTAACTCACCTGTAAAATGGGGAGAAAGTCCCTGACAGTTCACATGAGGCTCCTCTGATCAAGCCACATCCATTGGGCACAGGGCCTGGTGCCCAGTAGGAGTGAGGGGCACATGGCCCAGGTGAACCCCTGGCCCTCAGCCATTGGCTGTGTGGGCCTGGGCACACCCAGGTTGCCTCACCTGTGAGGAGGGACCCACTGTGCCATCTCCATGGTCTCACCTAGAGGCTTTCTCTTCCAGTGAATGGCACAGACCATTTTGGCCACCTGCTGCTGCCCAAGGACTCCAAGACCTTCATGCTCGCTTTTTTCCCAGAAGACAAGCAGAACATGGGGTTGACCTTCTTTGGTAAGCACCCCAAACTCCCACCATTCCCCCAGGGCCACCTGCTCCTAGGGCTGGGCCTCTTGACTTACAGTTCTCCCTGGTCTCTACCCAACCTTCTCCCCTGCGACCCCACACACACACTGACATGCCCACCTGTCCCCTTGCTCCCTCCTGCAGCTGACAAGCCAGAGGTGACCCCGGAGCAAATGGAAGAGTTCTATGACTACCTCACGTGCATGGGCATGGACAAGTCGGAAGTCCTGTACAGCGATGAGAAAAAGGTGAGGGCCAGGAGGACGAGGTGGTGTCCACCAGGGGCGCTCCTCCTTTGGGCAGCCCAGAGGCCCAGAGAGGGCCATCACCCAGCCAGGGCTGCACAGCAAGCCAAGAGAGCCTGCTTCTCTGTGCGCAGCTCACTTTGGGGACCGCTGAGCTTCCCAGAGGCCATGGGGTCTGCTGCCCCAGTCCAGAGCACACACCACCTTCCCTGGGACTCCTGTTCTCCCCCGTCACTGTGCTTTCTTGTCCTGCTGTCCTGTAGAATCTGTGCCTGCAGCTGGAGAAGCAGCATGAGGAGGAAAGGAGGAAGGAAAAGGAGAAGTCCGAGGCAGGCTCAGCGTTGGATTAGGACCTCGGGGACTTTGGGCCCACCCCCACCCTCCCTTTATGCCTCAGTTCTTTCCCTCAGTTGCACCAATAAAGTTTCTGCATTGGGATAGGCAGGTTGACATTTGTTCATTCATTCATTCACTCATTCATTCATGTTGAAGCCTGTGCCCCTGGCTGCAGAAGCTTCTGCTGTAACCCTCAGCACACATGCCAGGATGAATTATCGCACGTGGTGTGGGAGCCCAGCTCAAGGAGGTTCCTTCTGCAGGAGGGGAGTCTGGGAAGGCTTCCTGGAAGGGGCATGTGAACCAGCCTAAAAAGATTAGGAGCTTGGTAACACCTGCTGTTCCTGCTGCAATTCAAGGGCCTGAGAGGACAGGTTGGAGGAACATAAGGCAGAGGACCCAAAGCAGGAGTTCAGGTGGATAAGGTGGAGAGGACTAGGCACACGGCATGGTGCCTGACTTGAAGGACCTTAGGGCAACCATCACCCTGGTCACATGGGAGGTGAGCACCTGGGCAAGGGCCAGGGCAGGGACAGGGGGAAAGTTGGAGACACAGAAGACACAGAAGGCGGTAGGAAGAGTGGGAATGTGCCTCAACAGGTCCCCAGGTAGGAAGGGGGATGGCTGTGAGCAATGAGGAGTCAGAAGTCCCAGATTGCAAGAGTGATGGAGTCCCTGTGGGATGGACCTAAACTAGCAGTCCAACATCTCCAGAGGGGTCCTGGATTGGAGAGTCTGCTGGCTGTGCTGAGGGACCAACCCTTCTCTCCCCACCCCCCATGCAAGAATTTTATGCACTGGGTCTCAAGTACTTTAATAAAGCTCTAAATCTACACTAATAAAAGAGAAACATGCAAATTGACTATCACTTTGCTATGCCTTCACTAGCCAATCAGGAGTGAATATGCAGATTACACCTTCCACAATGGTGGCAGCCCCATGCCCCTTCTGGACAGAGCAGGAAGCCTGCTATGAGGGCCAGGGTCCAGGGAACTACAGGAGTGGTGCTCCATGCAGAGTGAAGACTGAAGGCAGCAGCCAGAGGGAAGGCCTGGATCCCTCTTGCAATCTGGGACTGCTGACTCCTCATTTCTCACTGCCATTCCCCTTCCTACCCGTGGACCTGTTGGAGGCACATTCCCACTCTTCCTGCCTCCCTCTGTGTCTCCAACTTTCCCCCTGTTCCTGCCCGATTCTGGCAGCCAGTGGAAGAAAGGACTATTGCATTAATTTCTTCGTGCAACAGGCCTCTAATAATACCATAAAGTGCTATAAAACGATATAAAGACAGGGCATGAATAAGTAAGTTATAATCTAGGAAGTGAACAAAAGGTGATGTGAGCTTGAAAATCAGAAATACTTACTGCACTGAAACATGGAAAACTATTCAAAGTATATAAAATGGCCCTAGCTGGTATTGCTCAGTGGAATGAGCATCAGCCTGTGGACTAAAAGGTCCCAGGTTTGATTATGGTTAAGGGCACAAGCCCAGGTTGCAGGCTCAATCCTCAGTAGGCGGCATGCAGGAGGCAACCAATCAATCATTGATGTTTCTATATCTCTGGCCCTCTCCCCTCCTCTCTGATATTAATAAAAATATCGTTTTAAAAAAATGAAAATTGTTAGAATACCATAATAATACTTTGTGAAAATATTATTTGTATGGATAAATATTTGGCCACCTCTGGGAAAAGTTCTTCCTCATAAACCTGTCTCCAGCACAGCAATTCTTCCATTATAGACACAGCGGGTCCTCACAGCCTATTGGCCTGGAAGTCAATTCCTCCCAGTGACACCAACAACAAACAAGACTTAATTACAACAAGGGTGTACACACAGTCCACAAGGGGGTGCACAAAGAGTGTCCACATTAGGCAACTGGGAGGTAGACCCATTGAACCATATAGGACACGCAGGCAGACAAAGCTATCCTACCAACTCAGGGAAGCAGCAAAAATGCCGAGAAAAGGAAGGAGATCTCAAACAAAAGAAATGGAGGGGAACAAAAGACTAAATATAAAGTTCAAAACCACAGTTATAAGGTTTTTCAAGAATTTCCTAGAAAAGGCCAATAACTTTAACAAGACCCTGGAGGATATGAAAAAGAAATTATACCAACTAGAAATTAAACATACACTGACGGAAATAAAAAATATATACAGAGACACAACAGCAGACTGGAAGAATGCAAGAAGCAAGTCAAAGATTTGGAATACAAGGAGGCAAAGGACACTCTTCTGGAGAAGCAAGAAGAGAAAAGAATCCAAAAAGTTGAAGATAGTGTAAGAAGCCTCTGGGACAACTTCAAGCATACCAACATCAGAATTATGGGGGTGCCAGAAGAAGAAAGAGAGCAAGACATTGAAAACCTATTTGAAGGAAAATAACCAAAAACTTCTCCCACCTGGTGAAAGAAATAGACTTACAAGTCCAGGAAGCACACAGAACTCCAAACAAAAGTAATCTAAAGAGGACCACACCAAGACACATCATAATTAAAATGCCAAGAGCAAAAGACAAAGGAGAATCTTACAAGCAGCAAGAGAAAAACAGTTAATTACCTAGTAGAGAGCACCCATACGATTATCAGCTGATTTCTCAACAGAAACTATGCAGGCCAGATGGGAGTGGCAAGAAATATTCAAAGTGATGAATAGCAAGAACCTACAACCAAGATTACTCTACCCAGCAAAGTTATCATTCAGAATTGAAGGGCAGATAAAAAGTTTCACAGATCAGAAAAAGCTAAAGGAGTACATGACCATCAAACCAGAATTCTATGATATGCTAAAAGATGTTCTTTGAAAAGAGGAAAAAGAAGAAAAAAGATAAAAATTGTGAACAACAAATAAAACAGGTGAATCTAAAAGTCAAGTGAATTAAAAATCTGAGGAACAGAATAAACGGGTGAATGTAATAGAATCAGGGGCATAGAATGGGAGGGGATTGATAATTCTCAGGGGGTAGGGGTGTCTGTGTGGGAGGGTATGGGAAGAGACTGGACAAAAATCATACACCTATGGATGAGAACAGTGGAAGGAGGGAGGAATAGGTAAGGGAACAGGGTGGAGTGGGGACCAGGTAGAGGGGAACTATAGAGAGGGGAAGAGAAACAATTGTAATAATCTGAACAATAAAGATTTATTTAAAAAAATTAAAAATTAAAATAAAAAAGAATACAAACACCACATAAACCCACACCTGAAACCTATATGTTCATGTTAACCAATGTCACCCCAATCAATTTAATAAATAAATACTAAAAGTTAAAAAAAAAATAAAAAAGAAATGCAGAAGGTGGTAGAGTTAGTAATTCCACGGAATTTCCTGAGCACCCACTGTGTGCTGGGCACTGCTGCAGGATTGGGGGCAGATGGTGAGAGAGGGCAAGCTTCCCCGTTGAATAGTAGAGGATACAGACAACACTGAAGTGACTGCCTGTTTCAGATGTTAAAGATGCTTCACATAATACATTTACTGAAAATAGAGGGTCACCTTAATGCCCCGTGTTGTTGTTGTTTTTTGTGTTTGTCTTGGAAAATGTCTCCTAGGTTGGGGCATTTCTGGACTTTTGTTCCTTCACAGTTGTTACCACACTCAACTGGACTGAATTCATGTTTGCCTTCCCCCACACTCTGCACCCCTACCCCCACATCTCCTCTACACCCCAGGCTGGCCCAGGGACTCTCCAAGGTGCCTTCAGCATCTGATTTATGATGGGTCCCCCTCAAGTCCTGCCACTCGGCGGGGCAGGAGTGGATGGGACCCTGAGCACCTGCCCCTCTATTATCACTAACATCACTCCAGCCCTTGCCACCTGGGCTTTGAACAGCCTGACCTTTGGGCCCTGGGCTCAAGGTCAGGGAACCAAACTAGACCCCAGCTTGGAGGCTTTCCCTGGGCTGACTTTTGCGAAAGGAGAGAAGGTTGCTGCACATGGCATTTCCCAAAAGCTCATCTGATTGTGTCACAGCGGGTCTCCAGGGCCCTGCCCACCGCTCATTATTATAAAGGTCACCGCACCCCTCAGCTGCCAGTACCTCCGACACTAGCGGCATCCTCCTCTGGCCATGGCGCTGTCCTGGGCTCTTGCGGTCTTGAGCCTTCTTCCTCTGCTGGACGCCCAGAGCCCTGCGTGTCCCAATTTCTCGGTGCCCATCACCAATGCCTCCCTGGACCAGGTGGGTGCTGGCTCCCTCTCTGGATATCCCTTCCCCTGCTGGCTTGCAGTCAGCCTCTCCTGGGCGCTGGGTGAGAACCAGGCTAGCCTCTAGCAGCCTCCCTCTGCCTCCAAGCTCAGAGCCTGCTTGCAAAGGCCCTCAGCAGGGCAAGTGCACTGGGTAAAGGTCTAAGGAGGAGGGGAGGAGATTGCTTGGCAGAGGGGGTTGAGGTGTAGGGAGTGATGGCTGATTCCTAGAATGAGCTCCTGAAGGCCCCACCTTTCCCGTGGGCCTCTGTCTCCTGATTTGCAAAGTGGAAAGATCTGCCTTGTCTTCTCCAGCTGACCATCCAGGACTAAGTTCTCAATCTCCATCACCTGCTCCTGCTTCTCCTCAGATCTCTGGCAAGTGGTTTTATATCGCCTCAGCTTACCGCTTCCCCGAGTACAAGAAGGAAGCTAGTGAAATCCATGCTTCCTTCTTTTACTTCACCCCCAACCACATGGAGGATAGGATACAGCTCAGAGAGTACACAACCATGTAAGCCCCGCACAAAATCCTGGCTTGCCAGCTCAGCCCCAGCCTCAGTCCAGCTTCCCAAATACCAGGAGCTAGCCCCTGCCCCCTCCTGGCCTCAGCCTTCTAATCCAGGGAATGGGGGCAGGCTGACTCTAATTGCCACCTGACTCTCCCCCTTCAAGATTGTGACAGTCCACTTTTCCTTGGCTATCTTACCGTTTTTCTCTCCTCTTCTCTCTGGCTTAAGGCGAGGACAGTGCATGTATAACTCCACCAACCTGAGGGTCAACCGGGAAAATGGGACCCTGACCAAACATGGTGAGCCCTCAGGGGAAGGGTTGCTGTGTGGGATGGGATATGGCGGGTGGGCCAGCCCTAAGGAGGGTACCTGGGGCTTTGGGCACAGAGAGCCCAGGAGACGCCCCCTTCTTAAATCTCCCTGGGCCCGCCGCCTGAACCCGGGAGCAGTCAGTCACAGCTGCCAACACCTCTGAGATCTTACTATGTGCCAAGTGCCCCCACTATGACACAATTCTGTGCACGTTTGGGAAATGCCATGTGCAGTACCTTTCCTCCTTTCCCATGTATTAACCCATGTTAATGCTCAGAAACCACCCAAGGAGGGCATTACACTGATCAGCTCAGGACATGGAGAGACAGGTGCCCACTTGGCTCTCTCACTCATCGTGCAATGACACCTACACTCAACCTGAGGTGGGTTCCAGTCCTGCCTCTCAAGCACTCTTGTTTTGTTTTTGTTTTGTGTTTCTGAGAGTATTTTCCCATTGATTTTTAGAGAGAGTGAAAGAGAGGGTGGGAAACATAGAGAAAGTAAACATCAACGTGAGAGACACGCATTGATTGGTTGTCTCCTACACCTGGTCTGCGGAGAGAGCCTGAAACTGAGGTACATGCCAGAATACAACCCTGGACCCTTCAGTCCCGGCTAAGGTTCAGTCATCTTTGTTCTCTGGGAACTAGGCATGATAGCCCACCCATGTCCCCGCCATCACTGCAAGAAGGCACATAGCAGGCACACACAGGTGCCAATGGAATTGAACGAAGTCCTGAGGCTGCTCTCTGAACCTCATTTAACTCATCTGCAAAATGGGGAGGAAAGCCCCAACAGCCACAGTTCTCATGAGGCTCCTCTGATGATGCCACATCCATTGGGCACAGGGCCTGGTGCCCAGTAGGAGTGAGGGGCACATGGCCCAGGTGAACCCCTGGCCCTCAGCCATTGGCTGTGTGGGCCTGGGCACACCCAGGTTGCCTCACCTGTGAGGAGGGACCCACTGTGCCATCTCCATGGTCTCACCCTGAGTCTTTCTCTTCCAGAGAATGGCACAGACCATTTTGGCCACCTGCTGCTGCCCAAGGACCCCAAGACCTTCATGCTCGCTTTTTTCCCAGAAGACAAGCAGAAAATGGGGCTGTCCTTCTTTGGTAGGTACCCCCAAACACCCACCAGGCTTCCCCCAGGGCCACCTGCTCCTAGGGCTGGGCCCCTCGACTTCCAGTCCTCCCTTGTTTCTACCCAAACTCCTCCCCCACCCACCCCACTCATATGCTGACATGCTCACCTGTCCCCTTGCTCCCTCCTGCAGCTGACAAGCCAGAGGTGACCCCGGAGCAAATGGAAGAGTTCTATGACTACCTCACGTGCATGGGCATGGACAAGTCCGAAGTCCTGTACAGCGATGAGGAAAAGGTGAGGGCCAGGAGGACTAGGTGATGCCCACCAGGGGCGCTCCTTTTTTGGGCAGCCCAGAGGCCCAGAGAGGGCCATCACCCAGCCAGGGCTGCACAGCAAGCCAACACAGCCTGCTTTTCTGTGCCCAGCTCACTGCAGGAACCACTGAGCTTCCCAGACACCCATGGGGTCTGCTGCCCCAGTCCAGAGCACACTCCACCTTCCCCCAGGTCCCCTGCCCTCCCCCGTCACTGTGCTTTCTTGTCCCGCTGTCCTGTAGAATAAGTGCCTGCAGCTGGAGAAGCAGCATGACGAGGAAAGGAGGAAGGAAAAGGAGAAGTCTGAGGCAGGCTCAGCGTTGGATTAGGACCTCGGGGATTTTGGGGGCCCATTCTGAGACACCCCTACCCTTCTTTTGTGCCTCAGTTCTTTTCCTCAGTTGCACCAATAAAGTTTCTACATTTGGAATAGGCAGGTTTTCATTTGCTCACTCATTCATTCATTCATTCATTCATTCAGGTTGTAGCCTGCACTCCTGCCTGCAGAAGCCCCTGCTGTAACCCCAGCACACATGCCAGGATGGACGATGGCACGTGGTGTAGGAGCCCAGCATGAGGATGTTCCTTCTGCAGGAGGGGGAGTCTGGGAAGGCTTTCTGGAAGGGGCATGTGAACCAGCCTAGAAAGATTAGGAGCTTGGTAACACCTGCTGTTCCTGCTGCAAGCCAAGGGCCTGAGAGGCCAGGTTTGAGGAACATAAGGCAGAGGGCCAAAACAGGAGTTCAGGTGGATAAGGTGGAGAGGACTAGGCACAGGGCATGGTGCCCGGCTTGAAGGACCTTAGGGCAAACATCACCCTGGTCACATGGGAGGTGAACACCTGGGCAAGGGCCGGGGCTAGGGCAAGGACAGGGGTAATGTTGGAGCCACAGAAGCCACAGAGGGAGGCAGGAAGAGTGGGAATGTGCCTCCAGCAGGTTCATGGGTGGGAAGGGGAGATGACTGTGAGAAGCCAGTGGTCCCAGAATGCAAGAGGGATGGAGTCCCTGTTTGATAGACTCTCTGTGGGATGGACCTAAACAGGCAGTCCGACATCCCCCAAGGGGTCCTGGATTGGAGAGGGTGCAGGCAGTGCTGAGGGACCACCACCCCCTCCCCAATGCGAGAATTTTATGCACTGGGTCTCTAGTACTTAGATAAAGCTGGAAATCAATAATAAAAGAAAAACATGCAAATCAACTATCACTTTGCTATGCCCCCTCTAGTCAATCAGGAGTGAATATGCAGATTACACCTTCCAAGATGGTGGCAGCCGAATTCCCCAGAGTGTTTGGACAAAGAGGAAGCCTGTTATCAGGAGGAGGGCCAGGGGCAGAGGGAGCAGGGCCCAGGGAGCTACAGGAGTGGTGCTCCATGCCGAGTGAAGACTGAAGGCAGCAGCCAGAGGGAAGGTCTGGGTCCCGGGTGCCAGAGGAAAACCGATGCCAGCAGCCAGGGAAAGGAAGGCCTATTGTATTATTCTCTTCATGCAGCAGGCCTCTAGTAATACCATAAAATGCTATAGAACCATATGAAGACAGGGCATGATTAAGTAAATTATAATCTAGGAAGTGAATGAAAGGTGATGTGAGCTTGAAAATCATAACCACTCACTATACTGAAACATGGAAAACTATTCAAAATATATAACATGGCCCTAGCTGGTTTTGCTCAGTGGATGGAGCATCAGCCTACAGACTATAGGGTCCCAGATTTGATTCTGGACAAGGGCACAAGCCCGGCTTGTGGGCTGATTCCCAAGTAGGGGGCATGCAGGAAGCAGCCAATCAATGATTCTTATTATTGATGTTCCTATCCTTCTCTCCCTCTCCCTTTCTCTCTGAAATCAATAAAAATATCATTACAGCCATTTGGCTCGGTGGATAGAGCATCAGTCTGTGGACTGAAAGGTCCCAGGTTCGATTCCAGTCAAGGGCATGTACATTGGTTGCAAGCACATCCCCGGTAGGGGGTGTGCAGGAGGCAGTTGGTCGATGTTTCTCTCTCATCGACGTTTCTAGCTCTCTATCCCTCTCCCTTCCTCTCTGTGGAAAATCAATAAAATATATATATTTTTTTAAAAATTTAAAATAAAATTTAAAAAAAATCATAAAAAAAATAAAATGGACGAGCATCCAAAGTTGTAAGCATACCATAATAATACTTTGTGAAGATATTATCTGTGTGGATAAAGATTTGGCCCCGTCATAGAGAAATGCAGAACGTGGTAAAGTTAGTAATTGCACAGGATTTCCTGAGCACCCACTGTGTGCTGGGCACTGCTGCAGGATTGGGGGCAGCTGGTGAGACAGAACAAGCTTCCCTCTTGAATAGCAGAGGATACAGACAACACAGAAGTGACTGCCTGTTTCAGATGTTGGAGATGCTTCACATAATACATTTACTGAAAATAGATGGTCACCTTAATGCCCCGTGTTGTTGCTTTTTTTGTTGTTGTTTCTTTTTTGTTTTTCTTGGAAAATGTCCCTGTCTCCAGGTCTGGGTTCGGGACTCTCTGGACTTTTGTTCCTTCACAGTTGTTACCACACTCAACTGGACTGAATTCAAGTTTGCCTTCCCCCACACTCTGCACCCCTACCCCCCACATCTCCCCTACACCCCAGGCTGGCCCGGGTACTCTCCAAGGTGCCTTCAGCATCTGATTTATGACGGGTCCCCCTCAAGTCCTGCCACTCAGCGGGGCAGGAGTGGATGGGACTGTGAGCACCTGTCCCTCAGTTTCCACCTTGGCTTTGAACAGCCTAACCTGTTCTCTGGTCTCAAGGTCAGTGACCCAAATTAGACCCCAGGGTGAAGGCTTTTCCTGGGCTGACTTTTGGAAAAGGAGGGAAGGTTCTGCGCATGGCATTTCCCAAATGCTCACCGGATTGTGTCACAGCGGGTCCCCAGGGCCCTGCCCACCACTCATTATTATAAAGCTCACCGCACCCCTCAGCCACCAGTACCTCCAACACCAGCGGCATCCTCCTCTGACCATGGCGCTGCCCTGGGCCCTTGCAGTCTTGAGCCTTCTTCCTGTGCTGGACGCCCACAGCCCGGTGTGTCCCAATTTCTCAGTGCCGATCACCAATGCCTCCCTGGACCAGGTGGGTGCCTGGGCCCTGAGCGCTGTGGGCGCTCTCTCTCTCTCTGGACTTCCCTTCCCCTGCTGGCTTGCAGTCAGCCTCTCCTGGGTGCTGGGTGAGAACCAGGCCAGCCTCCATCAGCCTTCCTCTGCCTCCAAGCTCAGAGCTTCCTTGCAAAGTCCCTCAGCAGGGCAAGCTGCACTTGGGAAGGCGCTGCCAGAAGCAGGGAGGGTGATCCTGGGCTGTGGAGAGTGATGGCCGATTCCTGCAGGCCCCACCCCTCCTTCGGGCCTCTGATCCTGATTTGCAAAGTGGAAATATCTGCCCCAGTCTCCTCCAGCTGACTATCCAGGACTAAGTTCTCAGTCTCCATCACCTGCTCCTGCTTCTCCTCAGATCTCTGGCAAGTGGTTTTATATCGCCTCGGCTTACCGCTTCCCCGAGTACAAGAAGGAAGCTAGCAAAATCCATGCATCCTTCTTTTACTTCACCCCCAACCACAAGGAGGACAGGATACTGCTCAGAGAGTACATGACCATGTAAGCCCCACAACTGGCCCTTGGGTACCAGCTCAGCCCCAGCCTCAGCACAGCTTTTGGCCCCTCTTCCCAGCTGCCCAAACCCATGGATCAAGCCCCTGGCGCCTCCTGGCCTCAGCCTTCCCATCCAGGGAATGGGGGCAGGCTGACTCTAATTGCCACCTGACTCTCCCCTCTAAGATTGTGACAGTCCACTTTTCCTTGGCTATCTTACTGTTTTTCTCTCTGGCTTCAGTGAGGGCCAGTGCATGTATAACTCCACGAACCTGAGGGTCAACCGAGAAAATGCAACGCTGACCAAACATGGTGAGCCCTCAGGGGAAGGGTTGCTGTGTGGGATGGGAGGTGGTGGGTGGGCCAGCCCAAAGGAGGGCACCTGAGGCTTTGGGCACAGAGAGCCTGGGAGATGCCCACTTCTTACATCTCCCTGGGCCCCGTCGCCTGCACCCTGAAGCAGTCAGTCACAGCTGCCTGCACCCTGAGCTTTTACTATGTGCCAGGTGTGGTCTGAAGTGCTTTGTATGAATTAATCCACGTTAATGCTCACAAACCACCCAAGGAGGGCATTACACTGATCAGCTCAGGACATGGAGAGACAGGTGCCCACTTGGCTCTCTCACTCATCGTGCAATGAGACGCACACTCAACCCGAGGTGGGTTCCAGACCTGCCTCTCAAGCACTCTTGTTTTTTGTTTTTGTGTTTTGTTAATTCTCACCTGAGAGTATTTTCCTATTGGTTTTTAGAGACAGTGAAAGGGAGGAGACAGAGAGAAAGGAAAATTCAATATGACACACACACATTGATTGTTTGTCTCCCACACCAGGTCTGGGGAGAGAGCCTGCAACTGAGGTACATGCCCTTGGCTGGAATCCTATCCTGGACCCTTCAGTCCCTGGGCCCATGCTCCATTCACTTAGCCAAACATGCAAGGACTGTCACTTTTTGTCCTTTTGGACCTAAGAGTGGCAGCCCACACATGTCCCCGCCATCACTGCAGAGAAGGCACATGGCAGGCACACACAGATGTCAATGGAATTGAACCAACACCTGAGGCTGCTCTCTAAATCTCATTTAACTCATCTGCAAAATGGGGAGGAAGGCCCCAACAGCCACAGTTCTCATGAGGCTCCTCTGATGCCACATCCATTGGGCACAGGGCCTGGTGCCCAGTAGGAGTGAGGGACACATGGCCCAGGTGAACCCGTGTTCGTCAGCCATTGGCTGTGTGGGCCTGGGCACACCGAGGTTGCCTACCTGTGATTAGGGACCCACTGTGCCATCTCCATGGTCTCACCCAGAGGCTTTCTCTTCCAGAGAATGGCACAGACCATTATGGCCAACTGCTCCTGCCCAAGGACCCCAAGAGCTTTATGCTCGCTTCTTTCCCAGAAGACAAGCAGAACATGGGGCTGTCCTTCTTTGGTAAGCACCCCAACTACCACCAGGCTTATCCAAGGGCCACCTGCTCCTAGGGCTGGGCCCCTAGACCTCCAGTCCTCCCTGGTCTCTACCCAACCTCCTCCCCCACCCACCCCCCCCACACACACTGACATGCTCACCTGTCCCCTTGCTCCCTCCTGCAGCTGACAAGCCAGAAGTGACCCCGGAGCAAATGGGAGAATTCTATGACTACCTCACGTGCATGGGCATGGACAAGTCTGAAGTCCTGTACAGCGACGAGAAAAAGGTGAGGGCCAGGAGGACTAGGTGTTGCCCACCAGAGGATGCTCCTCCTTTGGGCAGCCCAGAGGCCCAGAGAGGGCCATCACCCAGCCAGGGCTGCACAGCAAGCCAACACAGCCTGCTTTTCTGTGCCCAGCTCACTGTGGGGACCACTGAGCTTCCCAGAGGCCCATGGGGTCTGCTGCCCCAGTCCAGAGCACACTCCACCTTCCCCCAGGTCCCCTGCCCTCTCCCGTCACTGTGCTTTCTTGTCCCGCTGTCGTGTAGAATATGTGCCTGCAGCTGGAGAAGCAGCATGACGAGGAAAGGAGGAAGGAAAAGGAGAAGTCCGAGACAGGCTCAGCATTGGATTAGGACCTCGGGGACTTTGGGGGTCCATCCTGAGACCTCCCCTTCCTCGACCCTCCCTTTGTGCCTCAGTTCTTTCCCTCAGTTGCACCAATAAAGTTTCTACATTTGGAATAGGCAGGTTTTCATTTGCTCACTCATTCATTCACTCATTCATTCAGGTTGAAGCCTGCACTCCTGCCTGCAGAAGCCCCTGCTGTAACCCCAGCACACATGCCAGGATGGACGATGGCACGTGGTGTGGGAGCCCAGCATGAGGATGTTCCTTCTGCAGGAGGGGGAGTCTGGGAAGGCTTCCTGGAAAGAGCATGTGAACCAGCCTAGAAAGATTAGGAGCTTGGTAACACCTGCTGTTCCTGCTGCAAGCCAAGGGTCTGAGAGTACAGGTTTGAAGAACATAAGGCAGAGGACCCAAAGTGGGAGTTTGGGTGGATAAGGTGGAGAGGACTAGACACACGGCATGGTGCCAGGCTAGAAGGACCTTAGGGCAAACATCACCATGGTCACATGGGAGGTGAGCACTCAGGCCAGGGCCAGGGCCATGCAGAGACAGGGGGAAAGTTTGAGTCACAGAAGCCACAGAAGCCACAGAAGCAGGAAGAGTGGGAATGTGCCCCCAACAGGTCCACGGATGTGGAAGGCGGGATGGCTGTGTCAGTCTTCCCCCTGACCTAACTGACTTTAGAAGCCACAAATCCATTGGCATGCACCACAAATACCAGAAACTCTGGGAATGTTTTGGAGTTTTGTTTTGTTTTTTGGCATTTCTTTTTTTTTTATGATCAATATTCATTCTTCATTTGCCTCATAGCAAAAATAAAATTTTCCAATGCCCCAAATATACAAATATCACTCATGCGCACACATTCCATAAAAGCTGAGGTACACGCCGCTGCGGGGTTGGGGGTAGGACATGGCCTGGTGGCAGGGCCATAGGCCAGGCCCCGGCCGCTAGCTGGCCACTGGCCCAATTCCACAGGGATCCCCGGGACAGAGCGGGGAGGTCTCGAGATGAGGTACAGAGGCGGGGCCAGGGAGGATGGCTTCCTGGGGTGTCTCCATCCCAGCAGGCCCATGGGAAAGGCTGCTCTGATCACAGAGGAGCTGGGGACAGGTCACCCCTCGGACCGGCACCCCAAGATATCCCCAATGGTCCCAGAGTGTCTGGGACCAGCCATGTCTTTCCAGCGATGCCTTCTGCCAAGTGGCAGGTCACAGGCAGGTGGCCAGGCTTGTGCCAGAACCCCTGGCCCCACCCGTTCTTATGTGGCTTCCTGAGGAGAATGCATGCCCAGGAACACTCCTCCCTTTAAGAACTGTCCACCCGCATATAAAATACATATTATTAGCTGGAGGTGGAGACGCCCAGAGACTGCATGTGGCCGAAGGTCCGGGCCTTGGTCCCGGCACCTCCTTCAGGGGCTGCTGCCCTGGGAGGTGACGTCTCTGGACAGGCAGAGCTCTTCCGTTTTGCAAACACCGGGACTGAGCCAGCAGGGCCTGTGCTGGAGGGAGAACCCCTCGTGAGGGGTCCGCGGGGCTTTCAGGGGAGACGGCAGCAGGCTGTACGCCCACCCGTCCGCCATCTGTCTCTGAACCCCCAGAGCCGTCAGAAGAGGCAGGAGCCCCGCAGGCTGTGGGCCTGGCGCAGGTCAGCCGACAGGGAGCGGCTCATGTGCTTGGTGGTGGTGCGGACGCTCTCGGCGGCCTGGACAGCTCGGCTCAGGGCCTTGTTGAGCTCCTCCAGGTCCTCCAGGTCCAGCTGGACGGAGCGCCGGTGTCCTCCGGCTGCCCGGGAGGAGGCTGCGAGGGGCCGCTCGGCAGCCGGTCGGGCTGAGGGAGTGGTGGGGGCTGAGGTAGGTGCTCCTGGAGGACCGTAGAACCTGAGGAGAAGAGGGAAGTGGGCCCTTCACCGCAGAGAAGGCTGGATGCCGCCCGGGAACGCCGAGTTGTAGCCAGCCCTGTTCTGAGCCCCACACACCCCTACCTTCTGAGAATTTGAGGACCAGCTTGGCCTGAGAGCTACCCAAAACTTCCCCCAGGGCAGAAGCCACAAACACAAAACCCAACCAACGCTCCTGGCTAGTAAGCAAGGGCTATAAGGCAGTGGACCACCAGGGGGCAGCAGAGGCATATGCAGCTTTCTGAAGGGCGCACAGGCCTCAGCCTCTGGGCATGCTCAGTCTTGCCGCTGGAGAACATTTAGGGCCCCATCAGCCCAAGCTGCAGCAGTGTTAGAAGCACTATGGTTCCTGGGCACCCTCTATGCAGTACCGGCTGTCCATACACTTAATCCTCACCACAGCCCATGGCACAGGGGAACAGTGGCCTACCCAAAACCATGACATGGCTATGCTGGCCAGGGCTATCGGGCCCTGAGCCCGGGGCCTTTCTCCTCCCCGCTGGCCCATCCACTCCTGGGGACATCATGCTGGTTAGTTCGGCTCACAGGTGTGAGCCTGGGAGGACAGGGAACGGCCACAGAAGTAGAGACCCCAAGGTGACAGCGGGCACTCGGGGTTTCTAAGGGGCCACAACGTCCAGGTGGAACCGTTCCTGGCCAGTGAGCCGGAGCACTGGCAGGGTCTCCACCTGTGCCCGAGGCCCGAGCTCACAGCACGGCCTCTCCTAGTTGCCGGTGCAGAAGGTTCCTGAACCACTGGCTCAGACTCAGCTCAGAGTGACCCTGTAACCGCAGCCTCATGGGGGCTGGGGCTCCATGGTGCCCCGCACCTCTGCTTCATACATGCGGGAGAAGACAAAGGGGCACACACGCCCAGGTACTCAGCTGCCTGACACGGGCCCCAGGCTAGTTGTTAAGCAATTCAGACGAGAGAGAGGCCGGGAGGGTGGAAGGGGGCTCTTACACAGTGGCGGACGGGTAAGGCATCACGGGAACCGAGGAGACGTAGGCAAACGCGGGAGGGGCTGGTCCCGAAGGCGCAGCAGCCAGATACCACAGTCCTGGGGGCGGCGGCGGGGGCTGGGACCCCACCCGCTTGCTCCTCTGCTTGGGGCTGCAAGCGGAAGGGGCGTTTCTCCTTGTGGACTTGCCTGCCCCTGCCAGGAAAGGACACCAGAGAGACAGTATGACCACCTGGAAGATCTAGCAGACAACAGAGGGTCCCGCCCAGGCCCTGCCCTGTGCCAGCTGGACATGGGGCTGGCTGTGCTGGGAGTCCCGGATTTGGGAGGCGAACCCTTGCCCAGTGTGTTCCAGAACAAGGGGTGGGAGGGGGGGGGGGGGGGGGATTGGGGAGGAGCCGCCCTGCACACACCCCCTCCCCCACGGGCCCCAAGCTCCCCTGGCAGAGCTGAGGGAGGAGCCTGAACATCTGTGCATCTGTGCTCACCGGAGGTGGCTGGATCTGGGCCGTCACCCTCTGCGGGGGATCCTGGTGACCCAGCTCGACCGCACAGGGGACATCGAGGGGCATCAGTGGGAGATGGTCTCAGTGGGTCCCTGGCAACAGCACCCCCTGGAAGACCAGAAGGAGATGTGGGGCTGGGGGATTATGTCTGAGGTATCCAGCCTGGAGCCTCCTAAGCAGACCGCCCCCACCCCCCTGCAAAGCACTGAGCTTCCCTCAGCAACCGTGCAGAGGAGACAAGCACTGAGCTTCCCTAAGCAACCGTGCAGAGGAGACAAGCACTGAGCTTCCCTAAGCAACCGTGCAGAGGAGACAACACTGATGGCCACCATGACAGTGAGAGGCCACACTGCATGACCCGGGCCGTCCGCTCAGGGCCTTCCTGCATTATTTTATCAAGTCCAACAAGCCCCTGGGCTAGCTGCTGCCGTCACTCCCACTTTACAGATGGGAACGCTGAGGCTCTGAAAGGTTGAAGAATTCGTCAAGGTCTCAAAGCGGTGTTCCTCTGTCTGATCCCAAGCCCAGCTCTCCTGACTGCAGCCAGTGCCCGTGGTCCTTCCTCCACAGTGAGGCAGGCCCCTCCTCCATGTGGGAAGGGCCCGCCATGGCCCCGGGCACCAGAGGGTCAGCGGAGGCCTCAACTTGCCCAGTTGGCAGGAGAGTGGGCAGCCTCTGGGTCAGCTCCAGGGCCAGTCCACATGTTCTCCAGGCCTCAGCTCCGCCATCTCTCCCTCTGGGAAACCCTCCCACACCCCAGGCTGAATTACGTGTTCCTCAGCCACCCAGCTCTGGCCACCCTACGGTGTCCCCTAGAGTTCCTTGGGGACAGGGCTCAGGGCCCAGCACTGGAAGGTGGTTAGTGAATGAGTGAATGAATGAATGAATGAATAAATGACTGATCAGGGAGGACTATTGGAACTCCAACAAAGGAAGAAGGGCATAGTAGAGTGCTAAGGCTCTGGAGTCACAAGGACCTGGGTTCAAATCCAAGCTCTACCACTTGTAAGCTATAGGCCCCTGGGCAAGTTCTTTGTCCTCTCTGAGCTTCCTTACTCATAAAATGGCCTTAATAACAGAGCTGGTGAAACCTACTTCATAGAATTGCGAGGATGAATGTTTGTAAAACCCTTAGCATGATGCCGTTGTATACAGTAGGGGATTAATAAATGTCAGCTCCATCATTATCATCATCATCATCATCATCACCATCATCATCATCATCATCATCATCATCATCATCATCATTGCTTGAAAGGCCTGAGAGCCCATCCCCAACACTTTCATTAGGGATGTGGAACCTAAAGCTCAGAGAAGTTAAGGAATTTGCCTAAGGTCACACAGCAAGTCAGTGGGGAGAGCTGGGACTAGAACCCAATGTCCATATTCTCAGGCCACTGCTCTCTCCACGACTCTTCCCTGTTGGGTTTGAGGGAAAGAATGGGAGTGGAGGGAGCAGGGAGGGGAGATAAGATGGAATCACTGCTGCCAGTCGCCCTGCTGGCCGCACCCTCCTAGTAGGACTTCTCAGGAACTGCTTAAATCATGTCCATGGTTTCTCCATGTCAAGGTCAAGGAGGGCGGTTTTAGGCCTTAGCACCTGAAGCAACAGGTGTGAGGGCAGGACACCCTGGGAGGCCTGAGAACCCCAGGAAAATTGGGTTCCTTGGTCTGTACCTTTGACCTGCCTCTAAGCTCAGGGCAGGCCCACATCTGGCTGGACATTACCCTCCCCTCCGTGCTCTGAATGCTTCCATCCCTTACCTGTGTCCTGGGTCCTCGCAGGCTGGCAGTGGGAACAAGAGACTGTGCTATTGCCTCTTGGGACAATCTTGGGGGGTAGAATATGGTACTCCTGGCCTGGGGGCAAGCACAGAACAGTCGGT